AATTATACTCAATTAAAATTCAAATGGGTAATGACAACGTAGATTTCTAGTTGTAAATATGCATAATTTGAGACTTAAAAATATTTTGTGCATTTAATGATACATCTTAATAATTGAATTTATTATGCAAGACCTAGGTACGATTTCTCAAAAAAAAAAAAAAGACAAGCAGCATGCAAGTGTGGCCAATATTTTGGGCAGAAAATATAATAAATAGAGATTATGGTAAACCCATGACGTGATTTAATGCAAGATATAAAATTTGTAAAACATAATAATGTTAAAAAATTATGGATATTATCACTTCTTTTAAACCGTGCATAATAATTTTTTGTTTGTCGTTGTTTTTACATGAGCATTTGATATTTAAGGTCCTTTGATCTCAGGTAATTAAGATTTAGCCGAGTGGGAATCACAATGATAGTAAACACTTTCAACAACTACTTAACACAATTACATATTTTGAGACTTTTAATTAAACCAACACGGTTCCTGATAATGTGAGCAACGCGTAGTTTGTGTGATTTTTTTAAAATGGTTCGCTTAGTTTAAAACTTAAAAAGTTGAAAGACGTAGGGAGAAGAGAATAGAGACAAGCGCATGGAAGCGTGCAAAGTGTGGACAGGAAGGAAAATAACGAAAGGCATCGCCTTGGGAACACGCTTTTCCTTTCCATTCCGTTTTTTTTTTTTTTTGTTTGGGAATTCGCTTTCTTTTGAGTTGGACTCTAATTGGCGCGGGAAAAATGATTCCACCCTCCCTCCCTCCTTCTCTAATCTCTATGTTCAAAAACCCTCCTCATGCTTTTGTCCCTTTCATTGCCCCTCAAATTGCTTCTCCTGTTCTGCTTTCGTAGTCCCTACCTTCTTCGGTCCTCTCACATAACAAATCTATTCCCCTTTTTGTTTGCAAAGATATGCAATGATTCACGACACCTTTGAGCCTTATTAATATGCATAGGCTAGGGTTTAGAAAGTGTTCCTTCCGAACTGAAAAATAGAATATTAGTAATTAATTTACAGTTTTAAAAAAATGTCAGTTGAGACATTAGTTTCTTTTAAAATATTTTATATAAATACCCTGACAATAATAATTAAAATTCAAATACATCATCTTATGAAAAAAAAAAGTAATAAATGAAGTAATGGTGTGTTGAAAAAAATATTTATAAAAGTTATCTAATATTCCATATTTTGAAACAAGTAAATATTTTAAAAAAATATTTTATATTGTAATTCAAAGGGAGTAAGTCAGCCAAAACTTTTAGAAAATTTTGAAAGCTTTGCCCTACGTTAAAATTATAGAATTTGTATAGTGAATTATTGCTTTCGTTTATAACGAATTATCACAAAATCATTCATTCTATCATAATATAAAAAAAAAATCTGAGAATTTAGTGTGCGAAATTGGGACGTCAACTTCAAACATATGTTTGTAAAATGCTAATAATTTTACTGACTGGTTAGCCCATCAAATTTCAGGTGATTTGTTTGATAGCTTTATTTATGATAAACTATTGATAAAGCGTGTAAATCTTTGTCATGGCATGACCTAATTTGTTGTTCTTCCCATACAGATTTTCCATGTCCTTTATTTCCCAAAAAATAAAAAATAAAGTTAGTGTAGATGATTGCCAAATTTGATATAGAAGTCCGATGAGTTGATCAGACCTGATAAGTTAGTTTTGTTTCAAATCTAATGAAACTTTTTAATTCCAAGAACTTTAGTCCAATGATATGAACCTTTTTCTTCGATGCAAGAGTAGAGGCGAATTCAGAAATCATTATATGAGAACATAACTGAAATTTTATCTAAATATGTGACAATCATTTTTACATTTTTTATAAATAAAATTACACTTACTTTTTTAAAAATTTTGGAGTGTGAGCCGCCACGGCCTCTATTAACCTCCCTAAACTCGTCACTGTGCAAGAGGTTGTAGGTTCGACGCATCGGAGGCTTAAAAAATGTTGTGTGCTGTGTGCTACCTGCATGAAAGGGTTGATAGCTCAAGATTGAAAAAAAAAAAAAAAAAACCTTTTTATTCAAAAAATATAAACATATTTAATTAATGAAAAAAAGCTGGGTTAGTTGTTACCTTTCATGTGACTTGCACTCTCTTAACTTGCACTTCATCTTAATTGAGTCAAGTGTATGAATTCATTTCATTGTTTCATCATTTTTCTATACTTTAAAATTTATTTTTTATGGAGTACTTTTCTTCCATCATCATCATCATATTTATTAAATTCTTTTGACTTTTGGTATTTTGTATTTAAAATTATGAGTATGCTGGGCCAAAGTCAAAAGTGCTTTTTTGTCAAGTATCCCCCCCCAAAAAAAAAAAAGAAAGGGTGACGAGGACGACAAAGACCACGAAATTGTGAAGGTGATTGAAATATTTTAATTTTGTTTTCCATAAATAGTGTTGTAATATTTCGAAGTGGTGAGAGAAATGCATTTATATCCTTGACCGTAAGGATGGGCCTCTTACAAGACTTGTTGACTCAAGCCCAGTTCTTAAAGACCAATCGGCTTCAACTCAAAATTAGCATGCTCGATTTCACAAAACAAAAAACAAAAAAAAATAATAACATTGCCCCAAGCCCCAGATCACACACAAGTACGGGCTTTTTCGTTAAAAAGATTGCAAAATTTGGAACGAGCCTCACGTCTCAAATAGTCAAGCTATTGAAAACCAATTCGATTATTTAATTAATCAAGTTAATAATCAAAATTATTAATTAAACAATGATTGAATTAGTTATAAATAAATTATTTTATTAAATCAGTCAAAATCTTTGTTTAGCTGTTTACTGGCTTAATAGAGCGGGTTAACTGATTTCCATACTATGCAAACAGTGACTAATCTACTACAAAGGTGCTTATATTATTCTTTAGAAGGTCTTTGCATTAAATATAAGATATTCAAACTCAGAACAAGTCTCATGCATCAAATAGTGACTATACCTATATCTATATATTTTACTTTGAAATAAAGTAACTTTTAATTCATTATGTTTGGAGATATTATCGATCTCTCTCAAATTTTAATTTTAATTTTCATTTCAGTCCATCATCTTTTGCAGCATTTTTCATAGTTAAACAAACAAGGCTAAAGCATATTCTAAATTTTCAACTTTACACAATATCTCATTTTGGTTCTTTAATTTCATAAAATTTTATTTCAATTCTTTAATTTTAACACTGTTAGTTTTATTACAAAATTTTTTTATATTGAACTTTTAAATCTTAACAAAATATTTTAAAATATTGACATATTAAGTTTAATGCTTTAAAAATAACAATGACCGATATGAAAAAATAATTATTTAAAATTAATGGTATTATATTTAAAATATTGAGAAGATATTTTATAAAATTAAAAAATTAAAATAAAATTTTATATAAAATTACAGAATTAAAAATATATTTTAATTAATAAATAATGATTTTATCTTTATTTGAAAGGAAAAGCAAAAGAAACTGAAGATCCTCAAGATATTGGGCCAGAGGCCCATTTATGTCCAGGCATGGCTGTAAGCAATGATTAACGAAAGTCAGAACATACTGGATTGATCATTCACGCATGAGGAAGGTCTAGAGGTGAACACCGACCGATCCTAACTTGAAAATAAATATATTTTGATAGTTATTTATGAATGTTTTATGATAAATTTTATTTGAATAATTTGTAAATTTTTTTCCCTTTCAATAAATATGAACCACATAGATTATATCAAATAAATGAATGATTTGTTGTCAATAAATAGACTTCGAATATTATTTACAAAATTTTTATTATAAATATAATTCAGGTTACTTGTAAATTTTCTTTACAAGTATAAATCACATGCACCATGTAAAATAAATAAAATTTTTTTTATCAATAAGTAAATTTTAAATATTTTTTATAAAATTTATGTTGTAAATATTATTCAAGCAACTTATAAATTTCCTACCATTCCACAAGTATAAATTATGTGTATCATGTGAAATAAACAGAAGTTTTATTGTTAATATATGGACTTTAAATGTATTTATGAATGTCTTGCTGTATATTTCACGATGTGAAAATTCCGTCTTTTCACAAAAACTTAATTACAAGAGAGGTTTTAGGATTATATAATTATTCCAATTTTATTGGACCTTTAATGCAAGCATGTTAGTTCTAAGGCTTAAAATGCAATTCTCATAGGAATTAATAATGTTATCATAAATCACCGCTTGGTTCCATCAATAAGAGTTGTTAAATATTTAGTGGAAGAGTTTGTTGCTTGAAAGGATTCTACAACGACTAGCGATCCATCTTTATGAATCTGGGCCCCGTTAAATTCCTTTAGCTCCACAACGGTAGGTTGGGAATTCAAGGTGCATTCCAATTTCCAGAAAAAACATTAGCGGAGGGTCTACGAAACGACATCGTTTCTTCACATGAACAACTAACAAGCAGATAAAGTTGGTCATCCAATCGATGACTGCGCTCTCGCGTAGCGCCTACAAACGTGTTATTATCCGGACCCAACTTGAGTGCTATCATTCGGATTTTGATATGAATTATTCAGACTTAAAATATTGTTTTATATTTATTATAATAAAATTATAAAAAATATAAAAAATGTAATCATCAGTTTGTTTTACATTTAATATGAATAATTCAATTTAATATTAAAATTTTTATAATTTTCATATAATGATCAGTAAATATAATGTACTTTGAATTGTTGATATTTAAAAATTACAAATTAAAAATTTTAAATTTAAACAATATATTTGAATTGTCGATATATACAAATTTTAATTAAAATTAGATTGATAATTAAAAAATTATTAAATTTTTTAATTTTTATTATAATAAATACAAAATAACACTTCAAATCTAAACAAGAACAAAATCTAGATGGTGGTGTTTATGGTCTGAAGATGGACCCGTTACTATATATCAACTTATTTAGACGTCTCTAATGAAAAATAAATATATTATACCATATGAAGCACAATAACCAGGCTAAAATCTATACCATACCATATCATTTATGAAGATAAAAAAATGTCCGTATCACTAGGGACACGGTCTAAAATGAGTGTCAATAATATCAATGACATATACTATGAACTGAATTCAATTTCCCATCACGCTCCAATCTCTCACCTGTTTTGATCCCTTCAGTATCCCGTGGGGAAGTCGCAGTTGCCAAACTCTGCAATCATAAATTCAATTCTTAATATTTATTTTATTATTATTCTATAAAACTTTTATATAAAACCGACATGGTCGTTTACTCGTTTCAACTATACTACGTAAGCTACAAGAGATACGACACTTACTAGGAGGCTGCGTGACGACGTAGGCGGTCCCGCCAAAATCGCACGTGCCAGTGCCACGTGACTTCTTCTGGTAATAACTGTTAAACGCGTACGAAGCATGCGCTTCCAGCGTGTTCGGATTGTAACACGTGGCACCCGGTTGAATCGGACGGCAATCAGCCCCTCCTTCCCCGCACGCATAATCAAGCGCCGTCTGCAGCTTCGCCTCCGCAGATCTGCTGTTCGCCACACACCACGTCTGGCCTTGAGACGGAGTCCCCGCCGGAGCTTTGGCCACCGGAGTCTGACTCTTGCTCACATTAGACGGAGCCTTTGACGCATCCGCCTCCGTGAGTGGAATGTTATACACCTTCTGCTCGCTGGGATAGAACAGACCGTAGTTCCTCTCCGACGTCGGACCTGATTTCTGGTTTTCGTTGAACAAAGCGAACAAGAAGACGTTGAGTGGGTCCTTCTGCCTCAAGGGGGTCCCACTGCCCGTCAAAACGCGCCGTACCAAGTTTCCATTATACGACGCCGCATTGTCCACGCCAGCTCCGACCTCATTGGAATCCCCCTGAGACGGCCAACCAGTCTCGGACACCACTATCTTTACATCGTCGTATTGAAGAGCTGACATGGCCGCGTAAACGGCGTCGATTTGAGCTTCGAGGAGACTCATGTATCGCAACCCGTTACCCGAATCCACGACCCCCGGGTTCTGTTTGAACAGTGCGTAGTCCAAAGAGACTGTGTTAGAGTTTGCTTCGTAGGCGAAAAACGGGTACGCGTTCACCATGAGGTATGATCCGGATTGTCGGAGGAAATCCAACATGGGTTTGATCACGGGTTCGATCAATTCCGACTTGAAGGCTCCGGATGAAGGCGGGTATGAAGACTGAAGCGCCGAGAGGGCGATCGGTGACGAGATTTTGATGTCGAGGTTGTGTTTCGCGAGGGAAGCTTGGACGTTTTTCATGGCGGGGACAAGAAATCTGGTTGTGTTATTAGGGTCGACAAAGACTTCATTTCCGACGGCAATGGCTTCGAACTGAGTGGCGGGGTGGTAGCGGGAGATGTTGGCTTGGACCCATTGGTCTGTGAAAGACTGGTCAGCTGCGGCGGAGGAGAGGAGCTCGTTGGGGAGAGCCACGACGACTTGAATGCCGGAGTTGGCTAGAGCTGTGAGGACGTCGGAGTCGGCGTCGTAAAGCTTGACCCTAGTAATACCGTTGGCTTTGAGCAGCTGCACTACCTTGGCCGGCGGAGGAAGGTCGTTGGCCACCCTTCCGTAGTTAATTCCGATGGAACCCGCTCCTGCAAAAACAGAGAAACGAATCGAAGAAGTAAATACAGAGGCAAGAAAAAAAAACGAACCTGTTCTGTGAAATCAAATTTCACAAAAGACTGTAAAGGCACCTGAAGAAGCAGAAAAGGAGAGAAGAAAGAGGAAGAGAGAGAAGACGAGTGAAGCCGCCATTGTCATGCTCTGTTTCAGAGAGAAAAAACAGAGCAATTCAGGAGGAGATGCTGGGAGCAGTTACTTCTGACGATGATGATGTTAATTTTATATGGAGAAACAGATGGAATTAATTAATTAATTATTTTTTCCAATTTTTATATTAAAAAAATAGTAACGTAGACGGCGAAAGAGTAGGTTATGGTAGTGGGACGACGATAATGGAGGAATGGACCTAAGAATTTGTTGGGAACTGTTAATATTGTTTTCTTCATAATTAGAACCATTCTTTTGATCCTTTGTCTTTATGTTATTAGGTGGCCAAATTGCGACTCTTTAGAGTTTGATGTTTAAACCTAATTAATAATTTTCTAATATAAACATTCTATAGATATATTTTTCTAATTGGATAAACCGTAAAACTAACAAGGCTTCGACGACGTGTTCAGCGAGGAGCCAGAAGGATAATAAGCAATGACCTTATAATGAACATTTTGTATTTCATTATTAATAATAAAAGATAATCATAAAGTGATCACGAAAATAACTGTTTACAGTAATGGCCAGAAATTTGGTGTGCAGAGCTTAGACTTGATATTGATAATCATAATTTTTTTTTATGTTTTAAGATTCTAATTTTAATTCTAAAACAAAAACATCAAAATGCACGTAAAAGCGAAAACATTTTAACTGTGCTGAATTTTTGTAGAGTTAATTCAAGTCAAGTGAAAATGCAATCAGAAGAGCGATTCAAAAATCAACAAAGAAGGGCGATTCAATCGGTAATATTGTGAAATGTTAGATTTATCCTAATATCTAAAGCAGTGTTAGGTGAACCATCAGCGTTGTTAAAATTTATAAATATTCTCTTGGAGCATTATATCAATTTTAAGTTTAAAATATTAATTTAATTATAACTTCAAGTTTCCATGGGTATGATTAACAAATAATAATCGTCACCGAAAAATCTGAAATTTGGGATGATGCACTCATGCATGACATGAATATAATAACATTGTCGACAATAATCATATATACGAAGGACGTGAGTTCGAATGCGGTACGTCTTCTTGAGATATGAAATGAAGAAATTAATATGCAATATCTGAAATCAAATGAAAACACAAGACTTCTGCGATAATATATATATATATATATATAGAGAGAGAGAGAGAGAATTGAAATGAAGTGTGGTTAGCAACTGATGAAGAAGAAGAAAGAATTAATGGGTTTGAAAGTGATGAAAATGGAGATAGGATAGAGGCGGTGGGCGAGTGAATGATGATTATCTGTGGATTTTCTCTCTTGGTCGACAATCGATGATCATAGAGGATGACAATAATTTAGCCATTTCTTCAAGTTTCAACCACAATGGACACTCTTTATTGGCCTATTGTATATTTCATTTTAAAGGGCCAAGCACTATAATGACGTCCATATGGGAGCGCTTGTGTTTTAAAATGTTCTGAAATGTTTGTCCTGTTTTCTTTATTTTACCCTTATAATTTGAACTTACATGCATATAGGAATTACTTAACTAGCTAATTCATATTCTCTCTCACCCTTATATTTTAAATCACTTTTAACTAATTCATCAAGATCATGACAGGCCAGTTAAAGTAGTAAAATTGTCTTAAAATTAAACAACTTTTCATTTTTATCTTTGAATTTAAATAAAAGTGATTTGACATATACAGAAAGAGTTATTTTAATAATTGAAATAATATACTCCATCTGTTAAAAAATATAAAATATTTTTAATTGAATTTTATCTCTTAATAAAGTAATTATCTACTTTCAAACTAATTCTATTTTTTTATATTTATCCTTATTAAACACCCTATAATAAATATAAAATCATCATCAATAATGACACTTTAGAAAAAAGACAATTATTATACTTTAAAAGATTAAAAATATCTTATATTTTAAATATCTAACTCCTAAAAAATATTTTATATTTTTGAATGGAGGGAGTACTTCTTTTTAAATATGTAAAAGGGTGTTTTTGAAGTTGTGTACAGAAATACCAAAGTAATCGTTTGGGATGCGATTAACAAATAGGATGGGAGGGAGTTTAAAGCAGAGAAAGAGAAAAGAATTTTTTGTTCTTGTATTTTAAGTTATAATTATAATATTTAATTTGTATCATAATTTTCTCATTTTACCTTTATTTAGTGTTTATGAACGAAAGAATGTTATTAATTATCCACATTCGACAGTATTCCTCTCTGTTTTTTTTTTTTTCCGGTATTAGAAACTATCCCTATTAGATTCCACACATTGTGTCCAAGCAATATGGGTAATCTGGAGGAAAAAAAAAAACAAACAAACGAGGGAAACAAGGAAAATTGAGGTGATCTGACAACTAGAAACAAAACAAATTTTTGAACTAGCTAGATCAGCTCGTAATTCAATACACCCTTCATTTAAAATTATAAAATATTTTTATAAAGATTCAACTCCTCAAAATATAAAATAATCTAATCAAAAAATATTTTATTAATGATATTTTTTAATATAATCTTTTATATATATTCTCTCTAAAATATTATTTTATAAATAAATTATTAAATGAAAGATATTATTTTAAAATTTATATTTATATTTTGAAAAACAAATGTGATAAAGTGTACTTAATAAATTTTATTGAAGAATATCTTATAAATTATGATCGAGGAAATAACATGCACGGGATCTACTTTTCATTGAAGTGTTTTTACCATGATTTTTTTTTTTTTGGTACCTGCAAAACTTGAATACAAAATCATATCGTCTCTCTCTCCCCCTCCTATCTGGTTAAGTGTGGGAAGAGGTGTTCCTCTCCTTCTTTTCTCTCATTTCCCCTTCTTTTCTCAATCTCACCATCCATCAAATTTATAATTAAAAGAAATTCATTAAATAAAATCAAATCAATAGTGGGATTAGAAAAAGGAGAAAAGATAAAATAAAGGGAGGAACCCCTCTCTCCTTAAGTGTGAAATTTATTTGGTGCAATTGAATGAATTTTTCATTTATGAAATTTGAGTTATGGTATAATGAGACCCATAATTTAAAATTAACTCTCTTAACATGATTATTTTTACATATAAGTTTTCAACTTACCTAAAGGAAATCAGCCCCTTCTACGTACTTTACCTAGGTTTTTATCGTTGTTGTTAATATTATTTTGTACAATATTTATTGTTTTTTAATAATTGTTTAAAGTACTATATTTGTGTAATACTGAATCGCTCCAAAAGCTACTTGAAGGACATTGGACCTCACTAAGCCTTTTTATTTTTTATTTTTTATGACACTGTAAAATTTTTATTGTAGTATTTTTTTCGGCCGGCACTTCATTTTATAATTGGTATTTGATATATTGGTGATGTAATGATGCCAAGGGTTAAGATGGACATGGCACTTGAACTCTAAAATCTGTCACGAAATAAATTAATTAACCTAGTGGCAAGTTTTTTTTTTTAAGAAAAAAACTACATAGCCGCAAATTGGTGTTTCTAGCTGTAAATAAATATTATTTTAATTTGTTAGCTTTCCATAAGGACACAAAAAAATATTATACATTAAATATTCTACAGACCTGTCATCCAAAAAATATATTCCATAGACCTAAAAACTTAATTAATCGCTTAATGCTCGACTACACAAAATTTTAATTAATGTAATTTTATTGAAAATGTTAACATCAAACACATAAATTTGAACTAATATTTTGCAGCTTTAGACTCAATACATCCACGCAAAAAATTCAATAGGGCTCTTAATTGCATGATTGATAATTGATATGTATGAAATGGTGAATATCAAAACTCAAGGCCGTACTTAGCATTAATTTTGATGGCCTCCTCCCTCATAAATTATTTTTTCTTCTTATTTGTAATTTTCACTTTTCAGTTTCACATTCAAATTAATAAAACTTCAATCTTCCTAAAGAAAATTTTAATTTCAATAGCAAAAATTTTATCACACGATGTGCAGCTAAAAAAAATTCTAACAACTACAGTTGTATTTTTAAAAAAACTAATGATAAAGAAGATGTGGACTTAAATTTTTTCCTTTTAGATTTAGTTTTTATTATTATTTTAGGCAGTCTTATATATATATATATATATATAATTTGGCCGACGGTAGAATCTTATATTTTATTTCTTTTATCTGAATATGCAATTGATCTGTTTTATATAGATATTAAACATTGTTATGGGTTAAACATCAAATTGTCATTTTCAGCAATAATATTGCGATTGGCTATACCACAAACTTCTGATCCAGTAAAGTTGAAGTTGATGTATTATATAGATTTTTGTTGGAGGACAACGATGCATTATGTCTGTATATGATTTTTTTTTTCACGACTATATTATATATGAAAATGTGATAACGTAAGCAAACAAAATGTGACCTTAATTGTTGAGCAAAATATAATTCATGCTATTTTAATATCCGTCCATTAGAGGGTAATATTTTGATCATCGTTAATAATTGAACTATTTTAATATTTTCTTTAAAGAGAAAGCATTGAAACAAAAATTAATAAAAAATTCTGGAGGAAATATTTATACATCCATTATATATAGTAACGACAGTGAGATTTAAACATTAAATTTTCTCCTTCAAATAATAAAAATAAGTAATAAGTAGTACTTAAAGTTGTAATTTCAATTTTTTGATATGATCAGAGTGTTTTGAGTTTATCATCATCTTATGTTATTGGATTACACCCTTGTGAATTGAGTTAACTGGTTAAGTGAGCAAAGGACCAACTTAAATTAAATAAATATTTATTTTATTAAAAAATTATGGTGGCAATGGTTTCTTGAAGAGAAAACAATTAGGTCTTGTTTGATATGATTGAAGATTTTTTTTATGGAATCAGAATAAAATTAAATTATAAAAGTGTGTTTGGTATGAAAATAAAATCCTAATATAATTTTCATTAGCACATATACTTAAAATATGAAAAAATTAAATTACCCTTTTTTCTCAAAATTAAAAGGAAAATATCAATTAAAAATCATTGGAGAAAATTTATATTAATAAATGATTATCTGTTGTCAAAATTAGAATAGATACTTGTTGATTCAAGTTAATCTTTTATCAAGTATTTATTCAGCTTT